GATCCTCCTTCCCCAGCCTCTGGAGTGCTGGGATTACAGGTATGCGCCACCACACCTGGCTCCCTTTCCATTTGAGAAAGATCTATCTCTCCCGACTCTCTGTTATCTCTCATTTTGCTCTTTATTTTTACTTTGGGTTTCTCATAGAAGAGAAATCATGCGGTATTTAAGCTTGTGTATCTGATTCATTTCCCTTAACATGGTCTCAAGGTGCATCCGTCTTCCTCCAGATGACTCAAGCATGTCCTCTTTTTTTTTTTTTTTTTTGTACCGGGGATCGAACTTGGGCCCTTGCGCTTTCAAGGCAAGCGACAGAACCACTGAGCTAAATCTCCAGCCCAAAAGCTACATTCTTTATCCATTCATCTGTTGGTGGACATACAGGCCGCTTCTAAGCCTTAGCTGCTAGGAATTGTGCTGCTGTAAACATCTCTGCAACTTTCTTGTCTCTGCGAAATATTCTATGTTCGTGAGAGAATGAGAGCTAAAATGCAAATAACGGGTCGGGGATTTAGCTCAGTGGTTTTGCCACCTGTTGTGCAAGCGCAAGGACCTGAATTCGATCCCTGGTACCAGGAAAAAAAAAAGGCAAATAACTTGATATTAATGGTATTACATGACAGGTGTGGGAGCACACGCCTATAATCCCAGCTCCTGGGAGGCCGAGGCTGGACCAACTCTCACACAAAACAAAACAAAATCCAGCCTCCAAAGCCAGGGGCGATCTGTCCCGCCTTTGAGGGTGGCGTAACAGCGGGGTGCAGCCCTGTTCCCTGAGGAATGACCGACCGGACTGCGTCTGGCTGCAGCGCAGGGATTGGGATTATCGCGGCGCCATCGCTTCTCTGCCTTTTGGCTAAGATCAAGTGTATCGCAGGGCCGTTCCAGGGCACGGGTTTTCTTCCTTTCCTGTCCCCGTGGGCCACCAACCCGGGCCCCAGAGGCCCTGCCCTCGCCCACCTAGGGTCTCGGAACCACGCCCAAGGTCTGGCAGCCGCAGTGCCCAGGACACAGGGCAGCGCGTGCCAGTGAGTGCCCCGGGGTCACGTGTCCCTGGGCCCCGCCCCTCCAGGGACACCAGAGGACTGAGCCACGCGGCCACTGCACTTACCGAACCCCAGTGAGGTCCAGGCTGCGACGTGGTCCTGCCTGAACCGGTCACCGCACGCTGCAGTGTGGCCGAAGCCTCCCGCCAGGTCTGGGCAGAGCCCTCTCTAGCGGCCACATTTGAAACAGACCAGCCCGAAGGTCCCAGCACCCTAGCAGGCTGAGGCAGGAGGATCGCAACTTTGAGCCCAGACTGGGCAACTTAACAAGATCCTGTCTCAAAACAAATACTTAAAAATGGGGCTAAGAACATAGCTCCGTGAGAAGGCCCTGCGTTCAATCAAAGAAAGATGAGAATGGTGAGAGAGAAAGGGAGGAAGGGAGGAAGGAAAAGCGATGGACCAGGCACTACAGCCTCAGTCCTTTTTGTTTTGTTTTGTTTTTTGAGACAGGGTCTTACTGTGTAGTCCAGGCTGTCCTCGAACTCGTGGTGAAACTCCTGCCTCAGCCTACTGAGTGCTGGGATTGCAGGCGTGTGCCACCATGCCCCGCTATCCTCAGTCCTGTAAAAAACTTTTTTTTTTTGAAATTTTGAGACAGGGCCTCACTAAGTTGCTTAAACTAGCCTTGAACTTCAGATCCTCCTGCCTCAGCCTCCACTGTGTGCCACTTGGACTGGGCTGCAAAAAATACATATATTTTTACAGACATTTCTCAACCCTCACAAGTCACTTATTTGGCTACCTTTGTTAACCATGAACATATATTCTTAGCTGGGTGTGGTGCACTCACCTGTGATCCCAGCACAGGGGAGCCTGAGGCAGGAGGATTGCCTTGAGTTCAAGCCCAACCTGGGCTACACAGCAAAACCCAATCTCAAAAAAAATTTTTTTCTAAACTGGGTGCTCAATATTTCTAGCTGGTAACCCTAACTCCAAATGAACACTTACATTTAAGATGTTATGAATCTCCTCATAAAATTCTGGGGGACAGAATCACAGAAATCACCATTACCTGTCTAAATTGGGAGAATTCCCCCAGAAGATTCGAGAAATCTGTACAACATAAAACAAATAAAAATAAATTAAAAAGAAGTCTGTACAACAAAAATTACAATAGACATTTATTAAGCAATAATTTTCACAATATTTTAATTCTGTTCTGAAATCGATCTACAAATATCTCTACATAACACCAAAGCCAGTGATTTAATAAATAGGAGGAATGTATATATCACTTTGCAAAAAAATAAGCCCGGTACATTTATATATATATATATATTTATTTGTGGAACCAGCTTCCCAAGGCGAGAGGGACACTACCGCAAATCAAACGGCTGTACATTGTGTGGAATAAACGCTATATAAAATTTATAACCAGATACACAAAACGGAACTGAACCAGGGATACCCTGTTGGCATCGGGTACCGCACCTCACGAACAGGACGTGTAGTCAGTCAGGGACAGGGAAATGCGCGCTTCGCGGACCTGGGCGTGGGCGCGAATCACCAGCAGGAGACATCCCCGGGGCCTCACACGCGCACACGCAGGGACTGCGTCCACAATCCGGCCGCAGCTCGGGCTCCGCAAAGACGACACTGGGCGCGTGGTCCAAGAGCCGCCAGCTGCCGCAGGCGAATGCACGCGTGGCAAACGGCTCTGCTCAGAGGGTCCGCAGGCAGAGCGATGGCCAGGGCAGCTGACGGAGGTCCGCAGAGGTGGGCAGGCCGCTGTCGGAGCTACCAGAAATCTGTAATTCTGTCATTGAGCGAAAGCAAAAGGCTTGCAGGTGATGGTGGGGCATCATTGTTTTAAAAGGGTTTGGGGCTGGGGGCGGAGCTGGCTGGGCTGGGCGTGGCGGTGCACACCTGTAATCCCAGCACTTGGGGAGGCTGAGGCAGGAGGATGGCGAGTTGGAGCCCATCCTGGGCACTCAGCAACTCAGCACGACCCTGTCTGAAAATAAAAAGCGCTGGGGACGCAGCTCAGCGGGACGGGCCTGGGCTCGACCCCAGTGCTGCAAAAAAAAGAGGCAGGGAGGGAGCAGTGGACACCCAGTGGGTGCAAAGGCTGGCTTTTTGGTTAGGTCGGCAGATTCACAGCCGTCCTCACCGGTGAGGCAAAGCAGGGCAGCAGGGTGGAAGTGAAGCGCTTCCGGGCTCCCGCGCACGACACGCGCCGTGTCCTTAGGCCCTGCACTGACCCTGACACGGTGCCTTGGCCCTGCGCAAGCTCACACGGGCCTGGGGCGGGAGCTAGTGGCCCTGTCCCCGGTCCCCCGCCACGGAGCCGCCCCGCTCGGTCGCACCCGGCACCCGGCAAGGACATCCCCTCCTGTACCCAGTCACCTCTACTGCCCTCTGCATGGCCTCTCCCGAGTGCCCAGCGCTCTGCCCGCGGCCTCCGAGGCCTGCTGGGGACCCGCTGCAGTTGCTGCTCACGTGGTCACCGGCCCCCGGCCCATCATCCCAAGGCCCGGAAATGTTGCAAAGGGCCCAAGCCAGGTGTGGAACTGAGCCACGGTGGGCAGGGCCGGGGGGCCCGGATGACAAGGGTGACACCGCTCTGGACACCAAGGCACCCGGCCACATGGCCAGCATGGGGGTGGCTGCTCCCTTCCTAGGCTGATTTCTGCTGTTGGTAAGCGAATTTGGACTCGGGGCGCAAACACTGGGAAGTGAACACTGACGGAGATATATGAAAACTGGTCCCTAATGAATCACAGCAGAACGGCAGGAGCTGGATCACCAGTCATGATGCCACGTTCAGGGAGGTGTCGCTAGTATAATATATAGCCCTGAAGACGGGAAAAGGCTGCTCTTCAAGGCAGGCTATGGTACAAAAATACATTTTCCACGTACAAAAGAACAAAGAGATGGGGTGGGGCAGATACCTACAAGCTTCTGTGGAATGGAAGAAGAAAAAAATCCTTCATTATTTGGGGTTCAGAATACACCCAAAGCAAAATGTATGCATTAAAAGCCATTCCAAAGAATGTTCAAATCCGGCATCTGGGATTTCTATCAGAACTTCAAACAATATGCCACCCTGAAGCCACATTCACAATGAACAGTAGGTTCTTTCATTAAAAATGAAGGCATCTTGGGCCAGGGATTTAGTTCAGTGGTTCTACTGCCTCCCTTGCAAGCACAAGGACCCAAGTTCAATCCCCGGTACCAAAAAAAAAAAAAAAGAAGAAGAAAAAGGCATCTTGCTGGGGCATGGTGCTGCACACCTGTAATTCCAGCTCCATGGGAGGCTGAGACAGGAGGATCTCAAGTCCATGGCCAGGCTGGGCAATTTAGTGAGACTCTATTTCAAAGTAGTTTAATAAAAAGGGCTGGGGCTCAGTGGTAGAGCACTTGCTTAGCTTGAGTGAGGCCCTGGGTTTTATCCCCAGCACCACAAACAAAACAAAATAGACATCTTTTACTTGAGTACATCAAAGTGTAAAACTGGCTTCAGAGTCTATGCTTGGCCAAATGAGAAAAACTGGGACACATTTTTGACAGTCATTTTTTCTTTTTCCTTGACACAGGGTCTCGTGTAGTCCAGGCTGGCCTTAAACTCATAGGGATGCTCCTGCCTCAGCCTATGCCACCACACCAGGCAAGACAGCAATTTCAGTAGATGTTGTGGTCGCTCAGGATGGCTGGGGAGGGGAATGCTGGGCATGGCACCAGGCCAGGGCAGCTAGGACCCAGTTCCCAGGCATCTGACAGAGACCATGAGGTGAGAGGCCCGAGGCACCACTGTCCCCCGGCCGACACGTGCAGCGCAGTCTTTGACACCTCCATGTGGCACAACTGGTGCACAGCACGCCTGCAATCCCAGCACTCGGGAGGCTGAGGCAGGAGGATTCCTGCAAGATCGAGCCAGCCTGGGCTGCACAGTGAGTTCCAGGCCAGCCTGCACTGCATAGCGAGATCCTGCCTCAGACACACAAACAAACATAAAAGATTCATTTATAATATAGAAACGACTGGGGCCAATCCAGAAAGCATTTGTTGGAGTCTCCCGAGCACACCTTAAAAATAAGCCTCAGAAGCACCCTCTGGGTGCTGCCCTCTGGGATCAGCTGTGACTGCTTATTTTCCTTTATGGTCCTGAGCCAACTAACAATGAAAACAACAGCTGGTCGAGATGGCCCACACCTGCAATCCCAGCACTTCAGAGGCTGAGGCAGGAGGATCTAAGGCAAGCCCAACCTGGGCAATTTAGTAAGACTGCCTCATACTAGAAATAAAAAGGGTTGGGCTGCCTCGCAAGTGCAAGGTCCAAAGTTGGATCGCCGGTACCAAAAAGAAAGGGCTGGGGATGGATCTCAGTGTGAAGGCTCTGGGTTCAATCCCCAGTATGGCAAAATGAAAAACCTACATCAATCTGCAGAGGAAAAGATATGTTGGAGTGCGTAGAAATACAGTGGATGGGGCTAGGATCCAAGAGACCAGGGTGTGTCCCAAAGCCCGGCTCTCCACCCTGTTTTACTTTTGTTTTTTGAGACAGGGTCTTGCTCTGTCATTCAGGCTGACCTTGAACTCACGGCGATCCTCCTGCCTCAGCTTCCCAGGTGCTGGGATCACTGGGGTACACCACTATGGCCAGTACCACCTGTCCCCATTTAGAAGTGACAACATTCACTAAGTCACTGCCAGACCAAGGCAACCCAAAACAGCGCCCAGCTTGGGCATGAAGGCCACACACACACCTGGCCCGCCCTCTCCTACGCTTTCCTAAGAACGTCCAGTCACTTTCGAAGGAAAATTCTAATAAACTCTATCCCGTCTGCCTTATTTAAAAACTCTACAAAAGATGTATTTAAAATGTTTGAAAATTAACTGTATGTTCTATGCACAGGTAAATTTCTCCCACTGTACAACTCCTGTGGTTCTTAAAAAAAACTCTCCCCTGCGCCCCCTGGCGGCGCGGCGCGGCACGACCGTCGAGGGGTCCCTGGGTCCTGCGGTTCGCGCACGACTGGAACTGCCCCACCAGGCGCCCGGCCGGCTGTTGCCGTTTATTAAGATCGCTTGGGGTTTGGCGTTGCCGGTTTCTTCCTTCTCTTCTGCTTCCTGGGCGCACGTGTTGGTGCGGGCGGATCCAGCCGGCTGGCTGACCTTCATTTGTCCTTGGGGCGGTCGAAGGTCTCCAGCACCCTGTTGAGGCGGATGTTGAGCAGCCGGAGCTGGTTCTCCAGGTGCTCGAGTTTCTCCTCCACGCTGGGGCCTCCGGTTGTGCCAGGGCTGCTACTGCGCCAGTAGAAGCCCATGGGCCCCGTCATGAAGTAGATGGCGACCACCAGGCACAGGGGCAGCACGGCTCTCTCGGGCTCACCCTCGTACTTGTGCAGGATGTACATGCACGACATGGAGAACAGCACGACCCGCACGAGCCAGAAGAAGCGGCCGAACACCAGGTGCAGGACGCCAAAGGTGAAGCCCAAGGTCAGGGACAGGAACCAGTAGGCCACGAGGACCACACCAACCAGCAGCAGGGCCCGGGCCGGGCTGCTGGACACGGAGGCGGGGCTCAAGTACTGCAACAGGTTGGAGACTGCAGACAGAGCAGAGCACAGGGCCGTCAGGTCAGGGAGTGCAACCCGGGCTAACCCTAGGGCACACAGGGCGCCCCACAGACTGTCCTCCAGTCTCCATAATCAGAACACTCAGGGTAGGGCGCCTCCACAGCTGTCTAGGTTAAAGGAATTTCCCAGACTCCCTTGCAGATACATAACTAACCTTGGGGTAAAGAGAGGTGACCAGAAGTGTTTTACAGTAGTTTCAAGTTTTTTGTAAAAGTAACAGGAATGGGCCCTTTACCTCCTCCCCTTTCTGCCTGCTGGACTGTGGATGCAATGGCTAGAGCTGGAGCAGCCATCTTGGGCCATGAAGGAAAGGAAATTACCTACCAGGGAGGGGGGATGTGTGTTGGTCCTGGGGACAGTGTGCGGCGGAGCAGCCCTTGGGCCTAATCCCCGCTCTGAACTGTCACTGTCACTCCAGGAAATAAGCTTCCATCTTGGCTAAGCCACTGTTACTTGGGTCTTGGTTAGTCACACCAGGATTCCCTATCAGAAATGGAGTGAAGAGGAAGCGTGACATCTACGTGCCAGGCTTAAGGAAATTCAAAAAGTTGAGGGAAGAGTAAAGGGAATATTCTAGAAACCACCTCCATCAAACCATTATTAAAATTTGCCACATTTGCCCTTATTTCTCTACATACTTTTTTGGGTTAAATTATTTCAGAAATGTACATATTGTTATTTTATTGTGAGTCTTTTAGGAGCAGACATCATTCTCCCGAAACCAGACAGCTGTCCCTTGAATTAGCTCCCAGCTGTCCAGTAATTCGCTCATAGCTGCCCCGCCATGACCAGGACCCAGGGCAGCTCCAGAAGGGCATTTTAATCACTCTGTCTCTGTTCATCAAGATCTGCCCAGGATGGGGCCGGGGATTTAGCTCAGTGGTTTTGCCACCTGCTGCGCAAGTGCAAGGACCCGAGAGTTCAATCCCTGGTACAAAAAAAAAAAAGAAAAGAAAAGAACTGCCCAGGACTCCAGCACCCTGGAGGCGGCTCTCTACACTCGCTTCCTTGTAGAACGCCCTCCATTCTCGCCATTTTTTCTTCCTTGAGATCATCCTGCCTCAGCCTCCTGAGGGCTGGGATTACAGGGACACCCCTACACACCCAGACTCTGTTCAGCATCTGTCTGAGCCATGCCAGGGAAGCATCCCACTGATGCTGGCAGCTCTCAGGCTCAGGAGCTGTGGGACGGCCGGCTGACGCGCCCCAGGTCACCAGAGGTCCATCCAGGACACCTGGGGGTCCAGGGCTCCGCTCCTCTCCTGGGGCCGCAGAAATGGCTGCTGCGGCCGAGGCCCTGCTGAGGCCCGCCCGCGGCTGCCTCTTCAGCCCCACCAGTGGGACAGACAGGGACTGGGGACGTGGGGACAGATGATCCCCGGATTCAAAGACACCGCAGGCAACATGGGCTGGACAGGGGACGCCGATCTCCCCTTGGCCACCCTCCATGACCCCAGCAGAAGTGCCCAGGGCCACCAGGCAGGTGGTCAGCAGCCACTCAGCCCCGGAAGCCTGGGTAAGGCAGGAGCACTCGGGTGCCCTGCACAGAGATGAGCTCGTCCTGGCTCCCTGGGGTCCCTGCAACCCAGGGCCACCTCACGGCCGAGACAAAGCCGTGTCCTCCCCTGCCCCCACCAAGGTGGGGTCCGCAGTGACTGGGATCACAGGTGGCACCTCAAACAGGCCCTGGTGTCCCCTGGCAGTCTCCCCCGGAGGTTCCCTGCCACTTTTCCCTGCTTTTGGCAGACATGGTAGTCACCCATAATCTCTGCACTTGGGAGGCTGAGGCAGGAGGATCACCACAAGTTCGAGGCCGGTGAACTACATGGCGAGACCCTGTCTCAGCAAACAAACAAAAGATAATTATGTTGTGACATGTGCCTCATCGAAGTCAGCAGCACCGAGCTCTTCCTACTTCATGAGCCTGCTGGACACCTGAGCGTCACCTCCGGACTCGAGTTCTGTTTCTCCCGGCCACTCGGGCTAAGGGGTCTCCCTTTTAATCCCCACCGTGAAAAATGTTGAAGGGCATCACAGGCCGCACGCTGCAGCCTTTGCAGCACAGCACCCGCCTTCGCGTGTGGCTTCCGGGAAAGCATGCAGCCTCTCCGGATCTGTCTGCCAGAATCAAACCAGGGGGCCACTGCCCCGCCAGGCGAAGTGGCCAGGGCTGATGGGCCCCATTGCACACGGTTGCCGGATCCAGGCTGTGAGTTGACTCAGCCATGCCCCTGGAGGCCGGCGGTCCCCAGGGCTGCTGCCACCTCGTGGTGTCCCCCCAAGGCCTCGGCTCCCCGGGACAGTGATGCCCGCCCGTGCGGCTGGCACCCAAGGCTCAACTGCTAGGCGGTCTCTCCTCTGAAAGAGGGGGTGTAGGGCTGTGGGGGACCCCAAGACCAGGGCTCTGCTAGGTTTCCGGTCTGCTTTATGCCACCCCACCTGGTGGCTTCAAACAGGCGCCCCCCTTGCAGTCCCTGAGGCACAGGTCTAAAATCCGGGCTGCGGGCCAGGGATGTAGCTCAGTGGTTTCGCTGCCTGCTGTGCAAGCGCAATGACCCGAGTTCGATCCCCGGTACCAAAAATCAATCAATCCATCAATAAAATCAATAAAATCGGGTCTGCGACACTTGTGGGGCTGCGCTCCTCCTATTCCGTGGCCCCAGGGGTCCCCGGCCTGCAGCTGCAACGCTCCTGACCCTCCGGTCTCGGCCTGTCTCCACATGGCCGGCTCCCTGCATTGCGTCCCCGGTCCAGATCCCCACTTCTGTTTCCTGTCTCCGTTTGTGCTTTGAGTCAGGGTCTCGCTGTGGAGCCCATGCTGGCCTCGAACTTGGGGCGACCCTCAGCCTCCATGCCTGGCTGCCTTCTAACAAGGACACCAGTCCTTACACCCAGGCCCGGGTGACCCTGAACTCAGCCCAGCTGCACAGACCCTGCTCCCAAACGGCTCACGCTCAGGACCTGAGCTCTTCTCGGGGGGGCCCTACTCGGCCCCCCAGATTGGCTAAAAAGCAGAACCAGGACTGAGTCCTGCACTCTGACCCTAAACCCAAAGGCTGTCTCTCTGCAGCCACGAGAGCAGGCGGGGGCTGCGGGAGGCAGGTGCTTTCCGGGGGAGGACAGGGCTCCCAGACCCACCAGGGGCAGAGGCGGGATGGATCCCCGCAGCATCCCCAGCGGACCCCACCTGCGGGGTGTCCCGACCACCGCTGAGGGCACTCGGGGATCTTGCGACTCCATGCCATCTGGTGCCCGCTGCCCCTCGCTGAGGTCCTGGCCGCCCGGAGGACCCAAGCGGATTCCAAACGACTCCCCCACTCTGGCCTTTGGGGAGCAACCAGAAGTCGCCCGGGTGAGGACGCAGCCAGGTCTTTCTGGCCAGAAATTGCCCTGAATGTAAACGTAAACTGCTCTCCGTCTAAACGGCCAGCTTCTTTAATGGCTCCCAGTAAATCTGCTCCACATCTCGGGTCCACACTCGAGCATCAGTGTGACCTACTCTTGCTCTAGCCTGCGAGGTATCTGAGATCAGAACAGGGTCTCGCTATGTAGCCCAGGCTGGTCTCAAACTCATGGTGATCCTCCTGCCTCAGCCTCCTGAGTGCTGGGATCACAGGCCTGTGCCCCCACACCCGGCTCAATTTTTTTGTTCTTAATTACTTTTTTCTTTTTTAATAAATTTATTTTATTTTATCCCTTCCCCCCTCAAGCCCCCTTCCCTCCCTGTTTTTTTGGGGTTTTTTGGTACTGGGGCTCGAACTCAGGTCCTTGTGCTTGCACAGCAGGCGGCAAAACCACTGAGCTAAATCCCCAGCCCCCTCCCCTCCCTATGTACAAAGGCTTTGTTTCCATTTTTTCCTCTATTTTCACTTTTTTCTTGTCCCTTCCTTCCTTTCTCCCTCCCCTCTCCCTTGTTCCCCTTCCCATTTGAACATTTTCTCCCCATTTCTCAACACCCATTATACATCTCAGTCCTCATTCCCACTTGTGGTTTCTCATACCAGAGAAACAATGTGGTATTTAAACATGTGGGTCTGATTTATTTCACTCAAGAGTGTGGTCTCAAGGTGCATCCATTTAGCTAGAAATGTCTGAAGTGCCTCCTTCTTTATGACAGAGTAGTATTTCATTGTATATAAAAAACACATCTCCTTTATTCATCAGTTGATGGACATTTGGGCTATTTCCCAGCTTTAGCTATTACGAACTGTGCCGCTATGAACATGGGTGCACATATATCGCTGTGGTATGATGCTTTTAATTCTTTTGGGAAGATACCCAGCAGGGGAATAGCTGGGTCAAATGGGACCTCTAGTACTAGTTCTTTGAGGAATCTCCATACTGATTTCCAGTCTGGTTGGTTGCTCCAGTCTGCACTCCCATCAACAGTGGAGAAGGGTTCCTTTCTCCCCACAGCCCTGCCAGCATTTGCTATTGGTTGATTTCTTGATAGCAGCCATTCTTTCTGGGGTGAGGTGGAATCTCAGTGTTGTTTTCATCTGCATCTCTCGAATGACCAGTGATGCTGAACATTTTTCATGTATTTATTTGCTGTTTTTAATTCTTCATCTGAGAAGTGTCTTTTTTATTTTAAATCCCCATTTTTCATTGCAGGCTCAATTTCTGTGTGTGTGATTTCTTTTTTAAAATTTCTTTTTATTATTTTATTTTAATGTAATATAAGTAGATATTAAGAAAGAAAATAGAAAGGCCAGTCTGAACTACATAGTGAGACACTGTCTCAAAAAACAAAAAAAAGCCAGGGATTTAGCTCAGTGGTTTCGTCGCCTGCTGCGCAAGCGCAAGGACCTGAGTTCAATCCCCGGTACCAAAAAAAACCCGCCAAAAAACAAAAAAAGATGGGCCAAGGATTTTGCTCAGTGGTTCTGCCACCTGCTGCGCAAGCACAAGGACCTGAGAGTTTGATCCCCAGTACCAAAAAAAACCTCAAAAAAACAAAAAAGGAAAATTTAAAAAGCACTCTTATTTCTATGAAAAAATGAAACAAAATTTCATAACAGAATTAGAGAATAACAATAGTTAGGCCTGGGGATTTAGCTCAGTGTTTCTGCCGCCTGCTGAGCAAGCACAAGGTCCCGAGTTTGAGCCCAGGTACCAAAAAAAAAAAAAAACAAACGTTGATATACTGTGTACTGTGGTCCTAAAAAAACGGCCAAACCGTTACTCGGAGTACAAGTCACAGACAAAACAGACTCTCTCTTACAGAGAAGAAACAAATAAAAGGACCAGACTTTCTTTTCGAAGAACAAAGAGAAGCTGGTAGTATAAACAAAACAAATTAGTGTTATCTTTTTTTTTTTTGGTACAGGGGATCGAATTCGGGTCCTTGCACTTGTGAGGCAGGCGTGGTGCCACTGAGCCAAATCCCTGGCCCCATTTTGCTTTTCTGAGACAGGGCCTTGCCATGTAGTCCACATTGGCCTGGGACTTGTGATCCTCCTGCTTCAGCCTCCTGATTGCTGGGATTATGGGCACGCACACTATGTCCAGCTTGAAATGGCAGCCTTGGTGAGCCACTCATTAAAATAAAAAAGTTGAGTGTGGTGGTGCATGCCTGTAATCTCAGCACTCTGGGAGGCTGAGGCAGGAGAGTCATAATGGAGCCCAGCCTGGGCAACTTAGCAACTTCCTGAGACCCTGTTTCAAAGGTTAAACAAATGTTTAAAACAGGATGGGCATGCAGCTCAGTGTGAAGGCCCTGGGTTCAATGCCCAGTAACAAAATAAATGAAAAAGTTCATCCTTCCCCACGGTCCAGACCCCAAGCCCTCCCACGTCCCACACCAGTGGGTATAGAGCCACAATGTGAGAACTGCCATACACAAACGTCCCAGGGACCTACCATCAAGGCCAAGGACGTCCAGGAGCTCTGTCCACACCTTCCACACTGCCTCCAAGAACAGATCCACGCCCAGCACGAACCTCTCAGTCAGCCTGGTCAGGATCTGCAGAGGTGAGAAGAAGGTCACTACAGCACCACCAGCCACCGCGTCCGGCCCCCAATCTACTCCACGGGAGGAAAAACAGGTGCCACAGGCGGGGCCGGCAGCCCAGGGGAAGAGGGTGAGCTTGACATGAGACTCTGCTGCCCCTGAGCAGAGTCGAAACACCCAGCCCCTCAGCCCCTTCCCCAGGCCGGGCAGCTTCTCTGGGGAGGCAGGACCTGCAAAGTGGCTGCACAGCGCTTGCCATTTCCCCAACAGTCCTGGTTGCCCTTGGTCAGGGTCTCTGCTTTCCTCTGTTGGGCTTCTTGTTTTTAAAGGATGGGAGTTTCTGCCCCCAGTCTGTTGCCCCTGGAGGTTGGCTTTCTCTCTCTGAGGGAGGATCTGAGGTCTGAAATGGGTTCTCCAGTTCCACGGTGACCGATCTCCCAGGAACACAGCCAGGCCTTGCCCTGGGCCTTCACAGGCTTCACTAGCTCTCCGAGCATTCAAGAAAAGCATGGGCTGGAGAAATGAGTAGGCAAGGTACAGCCTCATTTCCCCTTCTTTTTTCTTTAATGCGTGATATTTTACCATTATTATTAGTACTTTGGGATTTTTTTGGTACCAGGGATCGAACTCGGGACCTTGCGCTTGCGAGGCAGGCAGCGGAACCACTGAACTAAATCTCCGGCCCCCAAAGGAGGCTTCTGTCAGATGACAGATGCCACTCAGTGCCGCCACACCTCCCTGGCAAGTGTTCCATCCCCAGTACAGGAAAAAAATAAGACACGAAAACCAAATGTGTCTGGGCGTTGGGGTACTTCCTGTAACTCCAGCTACTGAGGAGGCTGAGGCAGGAGGATCAAAAGTTCCAGGCCAGCCTGGGTGACTCAGTGACACTGTTTCACTAGGACTACAGCCAGGCATGGTAGCATATGCCTGTAATCCTAGCACTCTGGGAGGCTGAGGCAGGAGGGCCTCAAATTCATACCCAGCCTATGTAACTTACCAAGACCCTGTTTCAAAATTAAAAAATAAAAACGGGGTGGGCTGGGGATTTAGCTCAGTGGTTCTGCCACCTGCCTCGAAAGCCCAAGGTCCTGAGTTTGATACTCGGTACCAAAAATTAAAAAATTAAAAATAAAGGGGTGGGGATAGAGCTCAGTGCAAAGGCTTTGGTTCAGTCCCCAGCACCATGAAAAAAACAAAAACAAAAAAACTGAAAGCCAAAAGCAACTAGCAATCCTTGGTCAGGTGTTAGATTTTTTTTTCAAAGTAGCAAATGAAATTCAAACATGGACTGCATATTGGAAATCATTATTGCTGGGCACAGTGGCACACACCTATAATCCCAGCACTCAGGAGGCTGAGGCAGGAGGACTGTTGTAAGTCCGAGGTCAGTCTGGGCTACTTAGCAAGACCCTGTCTCAAAGAAAAAAAAAAAGGGCTGGGGATTTAGCTCAGTGGTTCCACAGCCTGCCTCGAATGCACAAGGATCCGAGTTTGATCCCCAGTACAAAAAACCCCAGAAATATTATTGTATGAAATTTAAGCTTCTGCCTGGACAGTGGTACACCACGGCTCTGCAGAGGCATTAAGATGTCTGCAGCTAGCAGGGGATTTAGCTCAATGGTTCTGTCACCTGCCTCGAAAGTGCAAGGTCCTGAGTTTGATCCCCAGTACCAAAAAAAAGATGTCTGAAGTTGGCTTTCAAATAGTTCAGACAAAAAGGTCTAATTTAAGTGTGCCCGGTGTGTTCAGAGAATTGCTGAGTCTAGGAGACAGGTCTCGGCAGCTGCTCTTTTTTTTCCCCTCCAGTACTGGGGATCGAACTCAGGACCTTGCGCTTGCCAGGCAGGCGCGGTGCCAGTGAGCTATATCCCTGGCCCCACGCTGCCCTTTTTCTATTCTTTCAATTTCTGGGTGTTTAAAATGTTTGCAAAAAAGGAAAAGAAAAACAAAGAGGACTGGTTCCCTTGTCTGCAGCGACGTTTTCCCAGGGGTGCGAGTCTGCTCGGGAGCCCTCAGGGAGCCTCAGGAACAGTCCTCAGGGAGCCTCAGGAGCAGTCGGAGGGGCACAAGTGATTGTGCTCAAAGTACTTTCTTGCAAACAGCACGAAATGCAAGCTTTTGAAAAACAAATGACAAAGGACACAAAAGGGGGGCGGCGCAGCCAGAAAGACAGTGTTGGGAGCTCCTCCTCCTCCAACGGAACAATGGAGGCGCAGCCCTCTCCGGCACCAATGGAGCTGAAGAGCAGATGGAGCTCATTCAAGTCCCAGCAGTGAGCTGGTGGTGACCTTGAGAGTTGGTGACCTTGGGGATCTCCCAGGCACTTCCGGAGCCGGGACCCTCCATCTCTAGATCTGCAGGCTGGTCTCAGGCCTGAGTTTGCTGGGTGACAACTCATCGTGTGGCAGACAGATGCATGCACAGCGCTGGGATTAACTTCAACTCAAAACTGGAAAACCGCATAGTCCTTTGAGTCTACTGCAGGCAAAGCAGCACTGGGGAGAGGTCTGCACTGTGGTCCTGGCTAGAGGCCCCAGGGGCTGGGTGCAGTAGTGGCCCATCCTAAAACGACTACTCTCTGCAGACCTTCAAGGAGAGCAGAGCAGGGAGGCGTGGTGGTGCGCACCTGTGATCCCAGCATTTGGGAGGCTGAGGCAGGAGGATCGCTGCAAGTTTGAGACCAGCCTGGACTACATAGTGAGACCTTGTCTCAAACAAATAAACAAAAACAAAGAAGAAGGCACAAACCAGCCGTCATGGCACATGCTTGTAATCCAAGCACTCAGGAGGCTGAGGCAAAAGGCTTGCAATTGCAAGTTCAAGGCCAGCCTGGGCCACACAGCAAAAAACAAAAGGGCACAAAACAGAGTACATAGTGCAACACGAACAAAAAACCAACCATGAGGAGCAGGTTCTACGTGGAGCTACACGTTTGCATACGCTTCTGTGGAGGGAGTGGGAGACCGGGTTGGGGGAAGCAGATTTTAAAAAAAGTTTTTAGTTATTTAGAGACAGGGTTTCGCTACGTAGCCAGGCTGTCCTCAAACTCACAGCAATCCTCCTGCCTCAGCCTCTCAAGTGCTGGGAACACAGGTGTGCCTCACCACACCTGGACAGATTTTTTAAAATCTGAATTATTTGGAATCGTATTCCACACAACCATGGGGGAGCAGCTGGGCCTGGGCCTGGCGTTCAGGGCGCTCCCACCCCACCAGCCCTGCACGTTTCCCCTGTGCTCCAAGACTCAGGCCGACTGCAGGTCAGCTCGGGAACCTCACCCAGCTGCTTCCTCCTCCGAGGCTCTGTCCCTCCCGCTCCCTGCCAGACCGAGGCTCCCCAGCACCCACACATGCCAGGCCATTTGCCCATCCCTTCCGACTCGCTGACGCCCAGCCTGGGTACTTCAGGTTCTGAGGGTCCAAGTGCAGATGACACCAGCTAGAGATCCCCCACTGCTGAGCTCAGGTACAGATGCAACATTTGCACGCCTGATTTCCTCATCTGCAAACAGAAACTCATACCACAGCCTGTCTCCCAGCAGCACCCGAACTCCACGCTGATGAAAAAACTAATCCCAGCACTCAGGAGGCTGAAGCAGGAGGATCCCCGTGCTGGAGGGCAGACTGGGTTACACAGAGAGCTCAAAGCCAGCCTGAACGGCATAGCGAGCGAGAGACCCTGCCTCAAACAGAACAACCCACCGGTGCTATTGCATCACCCCGGTTTACTTCCTTAGTGATCTGTGAAATAATCTTGTCTTATTTATTTTCAACTTATTTGCTGTCCCAGAAAATGGTCACTGGTCTGTGTTTCATTATTATGGGATGTGTTTACCTGTTTTAAGTTCCAGTGAAATATACCCAACTTTACAGATTTACCGTTTTAACAGGAACAGTGCAGTCGGGCGTGGCGCCACGCACCTGTGATCCCAGCACTGAGGGAGGCTGAGGCAGGAGGGTTGTGAGTTCAAGCCCTGCTTGGGCAACTTAGGGAGACCCTATCTCAAAAAGAAAAAAGCACTCTGGGGATGTGGCTCAGCGGCACCGTGCCTGCCTGGCAAACACAAGGCCCTGAGTTTGATTCCCCGTACCCCCCCCCCCCAAAAAGCATTGGGTTGGAGCTGAGCAGCTCCCACCCCCCTGCATCTGGGTCCTTCTCCCTGCAGTCCTTCCTGGTCAGGACGTGTCGTGTAAATGGACTCCTGCAGCCTCTGGAGACCGGTTTGGTTTCCTCGGTGTTTCTAAGGCCCTGCTATGCTGTCACAGGTGTCCCTCTTCCCACGGCGTGGGCGACCCCGTTCCACTCATCCCTAAGCCAGCCCAGACATTTGGGATGTGTCCACGTCCTGGTTCCAGGGACAGGGCTGCTGTGCACAATCCTGTACCTGCTGCATATTGATGTGTGTGTGTGTGTGTGTGTGTGTATATTTTTTTTTTGGCAGCGAGGTTTGAGGTCTCACGGTGGAGCCTAGCCTGCCCTGGAACTCATGGTGATCCTCCTGCCTCAGCCTCCCAAGGAGTGCTGGGATCACAAATGTACATTATTACCACGCCCAGCTAATAATTTTTACTTAGTTTTTTGAGTGCTAGGGGTTGAATCCTTGGGCTCATGCATGCCAAGCACTTGGGCTATCACCGAGCCACACCCCCAGCTCATAATAATTTTTAAATGAATGAACAGAATATCACCTTCCTGCCAGACAAACCTCTTTCATCTGCAAATATTTCCTGCCATCCATTGCACAATCACTCAGGCCTAGTGTTGCACACCCCCACCAATCCCATTCAACTCTCCCACTTTTCTCCTGCAATTGCCCCAAGGTCACATCGCTAGAGAGAGGCAGAGCCAGGGTTCAAACCTCTGTGGGCCAGCTAGGCCCAAGCCACACAGGGGCAGGTTTCAGACAAGTCCTGGCTTACAATGTGGGTGTTTCTTCAAACACACTCAAACATCACAAACCACGAGGCTGGTGAGGCTCCACTCAGTGAAACGGGGGACGAGAGAATGAACTACAGCTGCTAGCACCTCACTTCCTTTCATTAAAATTAATCAAGCCAGGCATGTTGGCACACACCTGTGATCCCAGCACCCTTGAGGCTGAGGCAGGAGGATTGCCAAGAGGTCAAGGCTAGGCTGGGCTACACAGCGAGACCCAGTCTCAGAAAAAACAAAACAAATATCCCCAAACACTTGGCAGCTTTTCAGCAAATCGACAGTATCATGAGCTCTCTTCAAGACACAAACCCTGCTTTTCCCCTGGTGGCAAGAATACAGCTGTCGTGCTGATACCAAGAGGTCAAAATCCTCCACCGCTCCTTCCGCCCACAGGGTTGCAGGGGACCTGGGGTCCTCCCCTGCACCCAGCACAACGGGCGGACTTTGCTTTGCTCTGAAAGGAGGCTGCCATCTTCCCAGCGGCTACCGAGTGGAGGTGGGGTAAGCGGTGGGACTCCCTCCTGCCTGGGGACAAGCGGTCCTCAGAGCCACCTACAAAGAACGCCACACTAACATCTCATTTCCTTACGGAGCAAGTCACCGGCCCAGCCCCAACCCCAGGACAGCCAGAGCAGAAGCTGGTTTTCCTGACGAATTTACCCATTTTCATTTGACCCAATAAAGTCATTGAGCCAATCTGATTTGGGTGTTGTTTTTATTTTTATTTTTACTTTTTAACTTTTTCCATTGCTGGGGGTTGAACCCAAGGCCCTGTGTGCGCTACAGGAGTGCTCTGGCACCCAACTACAGCCCCAGCCCCCCTTTTAAATCTTTTTTTTTTTCTGGTACAGGGGATGGAACTTGGGACCTTGTGCTTGCGAGGCAGGCGCCAGAAACACTGAGCTAAATCCCCCGCCCCCCTTTTATTAACTTTTAATTTTCCGACAGGGTCTTGCTAAGTTGCCCAGGCGGGGCTCAAACTTTTGATCCTCCTGCCAGCCTCGCCTCCCAAGTGGCTGGGATGACAGGCACGTACCACCACGTCTGGCTTGGTTTTTAACATTTTCCTTCTCCATCTCAAGGACCAATAAACTTTTTCTCTAACCTTGGAGTCCTCCAGCAGGGCTCAGCGATATGAATTTGCACGCTAACCAGAAAATGTTAATAGTTGAAACCAACTGAGACTAATTCTGGACCCGGAAGGCACCAACTATTCATCATGAAAGCCTCACCATACTACCATGCCCATTTAACAGATAGACAAACGGAGACTTTAAGAAATAAAATCACACTGGGCCGGGGATTTAGCTCAGTGGTTCCGTCGCCTGCCTCGCAAGCACAAGGACCCGAGTTCGATCCCCGGTACCAAAAAAAAACCAAACAAAAAAACCACAAAGAAATAAAACCACATGCGTAAAGCCACCCTGCTTCCACGGAGAGCCCCAACTCGACCCCCAACTTCTCCAACTCCAGAACCCCAAGGCCGGCGGCGGCGAGCGAAGGAATTAACAGGGTCAGGGACAGCGAGGACAGCGCATTACCACAGGCAACCCGGCCGTGCCCACGAACTTCCCCTTCCTCGGGACCTCGTCGCGAGGTCGTGAGCTTCGGCCGGAATGGCGCAACACCTGCCTCGCTCCAGGCGGGGCAGCGGGCCCGGCTCCCCGCTCCCCGGGCCCCCAAAGTACGCTAGGGCCTGGCCCCGCACACAACAGGCCCGGGGCCCAGACCCAGGCCCAGGCCCAGGGCGCGGACCCCCCCCCCCCGGCCCTCCGGGCTCGCTGCGGCCTAGCGCCGGCGCGAGAATGAATGAGCGCGCGCGGGCGCGGACCGGGCCTCCCCGCCGTCCCGAGGCCGCGCACGGCCCAGCCGGCCCGGGTGCAGGTGCGCGGCGGCCGGGCAAGGTGACCGCGTCGGGCGGCCCGGAGCCCACCTTCTGGGCGGCGCGCACGTTGTCCTCGCCGAACAGGCTGCCGACGCTCTGCGAGAAGGTGTTGGCGGCGCGGCGGTAGCTGTTCTTCTCCGTGCCGCCGCGGCCCCGCGCGCCCTGCGCGCCAGGAGCCAGCAGCCCCAGCAGCAGGAGCAGCAGCAGGAGCGCGGCCCGGCTCGCCAGCCACGCCGAGGTGCGCGCGCCCATGCTCGTCCGAGGTGCGATCGCCGTGCGGGTGGAGGACGCCGCGGCTCCGGCCCCGACCACGTTGGGGGCGCTCACTGCGATCTGCCCGATCCGCCCGCCGCTGTCCGCCGCGGCGGTCCGTCCGCGGGGCCTCCGTCCGCCGCGGGCTCCTGGGCCCGGGCGCCCCAGCGCGCGCCGCCGCCA